GTCATCCATATTTAAAGCAACCTTCAAAAATTATTTTGAATTGTTTAAAACATATTCCCAATGATTATTTTTTTGTATGGAGTGAGAATTAGCATTTTCTAATGAATGTTTAAAACATGTGTCATCAAATGTATTCATAATTTTGATTATCGTACTAAAAACAAAAGGCTCGTTTTTGTTGTATTTTGTTGTCGGTTTTATTTGTTTTCAATCGTCTTTTGTTTCGGTTTTTTAGTGAATCTTGGAACAGTTTTATGGCTCTCACGGAATTCTTTAATGTCCCTTTTTTTGTTTTTTCTTCTTTCTTAATAAAATTTGTCTTTTTAAAAAATGTAGTTTTTAATTACTTTAATTTAAAAAATAATAACATATATATTAAATTGTTTTTTTTAAATTGATCCATTTTACCAATTTAAAACAACTGACCATAAGGATGGTGCCTGATTAGTTTGAGATTCTCTCTAAAGATCAAAAGTGTCTGGAGGTTTTAGATTCAAATCCAAGAAGAAACAAAAATCTTCTTGTGACCACGGAGGTTCAAATGCGGTGACTCCGGACTACCTGCAAAGTAGGTGGTCATCCTAGGATTAGTCGGCTCGTTTATCGGGTTAGATATCCAGATTAATAAAAAAAAAATATATATATATATATATATCTTTGACAACTTAAATAACACGATTGTAATAATGAGTATTTTCCCTCTCTTTTTCATGTGACAAAAGACTAGAGATTGGAATTTCCAAATAATTAACCAGGACCACCTCTCAAAGGCATTGCTCGTCCTCATTTTTAACTTTTTTTTTATATAATATAATATAATAATAATGGTTTTTTAACCGATTATATTTGTAATATTTGAATTTGTTGTCGTACATATTTAGCGCGTTCCTATGGTACATGTCATATACACTTTCATTTGTGTTAAAATCATAACATTGAAAATATAAAAATTATTTTTGATGTTCATATATATAAAGAAAAAATTAATAGATAAAATACATTCAACAATATATATAAATATAAATAGAGCTTAATTCAACTGTTAACCCAAATTATATATATATATATATATATATATATATTATAAAGTATTTTATAAAAACTCTTAAAACCATTTTTTGTGCATGAAGTATTGTTTATTGATGCATATTACTTAAAATTCAATATTACAAGTAATTTTGCGTAAGTACAACTTATTAAAGCTTAATTTTTTAAATCGTGTAACTAACTGCAGATAAACATAATCAAATACATGATAAATATTCATTTTAAATATAGAAAATCTAAAATATAATTAAAATGATCATTGAGTTCTAACAATATTTATAAAAATTTATATTATTAAACAAAAAATAAATTAATTTGTCATTAAATCTAAATTAAATTATAATAAAAAAATGAATTAAAGAAGTTACACTAGAAAAGCGAGAACTATTAAATAGTTAATTTGATACTAATATCGATTTATTTTTTTCAAATTTTTATGTTTCAAAAACACATAAAATCGTATTATATCGATAGAGACAAAATAAAAAATGAACATTAAAATTAAAATTTATCTCGCTACATTGCACTAGTACCCTTCTAATAAATTTATCTCATCGCTATATTTAAATCAAGGGAAAAGTACAATAAAAACCAATGAACTTTCTTGTTTGGAATGATTAAGTCCTTAAACTTTTTTTTGGAACAAATAAGTTCTTGAACATTCCAAAACATGTTAAATAAGTCCTTGGACAATTTTTTGGCACAAATAAGTCCTTGGACATTCTAAAATATGTTAAATAAGTCCTTAGACATTTCAAAAAATGTTAAATAAGTCCTTGGACAATTTTTGGAACAAATAAGTTCTTGAACAATCCAAAGCATGTTAAATAACTTCTTGAACTTTTATAGAACATGTTGGATACATTCTTATGCTTGTACAACTAGTTAAAATGGTAATTATTTTTTTGTAAATGTAAGTACTTTTTTGTTATATTTGTTTAATTTTATAGATCTAAATACTTTTTGGTTGAAAAAATATTTAGGGGCTTAATCGTTCAAAATATGAATGTTCATTGGGTTTTTTTTTCCGAATTTTTTTCACTATTTTACCACTTTATTTTTTTCAAAAAGTTATTTAACATGTTTTGGATTGTTCAAGGACTTATTTGTTCCAAAAATTGTCCAAGGACTTATTTAACATTTTTTGGAATGTCTAAGGACTTATTTGTTCCAAAAATTGTCCAAGGACTTATTTAACATTTTTTGGAATGTCCAAGGACTTATTTGTTCCAAAAATTGTCCAATGACCTATTTAACATATTTTGGAATGTTCAAGGACTTATTTAACATGTTTTGAAAAGTTCAAGAACTTATTTGTTCCAAAAAAAAGTTCAAGGACTTAATCATTCCAAACAAAAAAGTTCATTAGTTTTTATTGTACTTTTCCCTTGAATCAAACAAAATTCTTGCTCTTACAATATTAAATAAGCCACACAAAAAAAAGAGAATTATTCATTGATGGTATTTGAAGAATGAGTTACTATATTTGCAAAAAACTTTTTTATAATTTTTTAAATAAAAAAATTATATTTAATTATTAATTATATTAATAAAATATTTAAAGCATTTAATATTGTAACAAACTTTTGTTTAAGATGTCAATTTTATATTTTCTTTCTTTCTTACTTCTCTCTTCCAAAATAAGTAAAAAAATATTTATATATATTTTTTGTTTCTTTTAAAATTTAATTTTTGAGCTTTTTTCTCTTCTCCAAATATGGAGAGTTTTTTCTTTTCATTTTTCTTCTGATTTAGAGATTTTGTTGGTGAGAAGAAACTTCAAAATTTTTATTTTATTTTTATTTTAAAAAAATTCTGTTGAAAATGATCTTAGAGGGGTCGTTTACCAAACACTTACCCGGTAAGTGTTTATCGGTAAAATCTTAACACTATAATTAACTTAATGGGTAAGATCTTAGTCCACCAAAACGACATTGTATGCAACAATTACCCGGTAAGCGTTTACTGTGGTAAGAGTCGTCGCTCTCACTTACCGGGTAAGACTATTGGTCCTTGTCTCGCTTTTACAAGGTAAGATTCTTGGTCTTACCTCAAAAAGCCGATCCAACCCCCAACCTGTCCAATCTAACTCTCAAAATAATCTGATTAAACACACCCATTAAACTGTCGATAAATACGGTTCAAATTGGGTTAGACATAACTTAACTCAACGTAACCTAATACGTTCACCACCCTTATTGTAAATGCGTCATGTTGGTTGTATATCCACTTCATCGTAATATGTCTTCACTATTGCATTCTATAAATCAACAGTGGTAGATGTCAGAATTAAATGCACTGTCTCTGATTCTCCGAACACAAATGCCTTTGAAAATTAGCCTTATTTGTCATGGTTTTTGAGATGTTATGAAAGGAAACAAAACATGATTTTTCAGATGTTTTATTAGAGAGGCTGATACACGGTTAGTAGATAATTTCATGTCATATTGGTTTTTAAATCATCTCACTGTCGTATTTTCTGATGGTGTTGTTGGACAGACAAAACTGTTAAAATTTGTTGTGGTCGGTAATCTTTGGTTACCCAACTTAACAACAGATACTTCCTCTAACCTAGCCTTGGAATCCATCTTAGTTACAAGTTGAAAAGAAGGTTGTTCAATGCATTGGAAAATCATGGTTTTCAGGTACAGATTCCTTTTTTCTGACCTGTTTGTAATTTTTGTTAGTACCTTAGCTTATTTCTGTTTTCTAGTAATTCATGTGGACTCATTGTCAGGCTCAACATAAATACGAAAACAATGATTAACTCGCAATGTTTTTTAACAGGTTAGTTGAGTTTGAGATTTTTTTTTCTTCAGATCGTTCTATAACAGTGTCCAAAATACCATCAGACTATGAAAACTGGTCAAACCAATCCAAATTAGACACTTTTTTGGCGGTCTAAATGGTCTGGTTTGGTTTCGGAAAAAGTCAAACCAGATGGTCTTATCTGGTATACATTTTAAGGTATCAGTATTGTTTTCTCGTTTTTATTATCTGACATCTCTTAACTCTCATCACCTTTTGTTGAACTATGAATCGAAAAAATAAGGTTTTGTTGAATTACAACCAATAGCAATATATAGATTTTTTTGGAGGGCAACATATGCATGTAGTTTCTTTGTGCAGATCTTTATCTCATATGCCATTGTAATCCTAAATTGTTTGAACCGGTCGAACCAAACCACCATCTAATGGTCTACTTTAACCGATCTAGTCACTTTATGTCAAATCACATTATTTGAAATTTTTCCAGATCCCGCTCACGGTTTTGCTTGTAGCTCCGTCTATAACAGACCATCAACACTTATACTATAGTAATTAAGTTGGGTTGTTTAAATGTTACAAACCATCCAACCGAATGCATATACACCCATGTTCAAATTAACCCCTCCTCATTCACGCCACCACATTTTATATTTCATCCTTCCTCATACAAGAGGTTGTTTATTTACCTTTTAATAGTTTCATTCAGAGAATTACGAGACAACATCTGAATCGTTAAGAGGTGAATCTTGTTTGATAAAAAAAATATCTCTTAATGGTTCTAAAACCCATTGAATGATTTTATATCTTGCGTCTCCCTTAACCATCAAACGTCCTAATTTCATTGTAAACAATTAACAAATAACTATATTTCATTTTGCATTATATCATAAGAGTCTTTTAATCATTCTAATTAGTTAATCATTTTATTTATTATCACCATTCAATCATGGCATTCTCTTTTGATTTTAGTCAAATAGCTTTTTTGAAATTTTATTTATTTATTTATTAGAATTACATGAATACATGGTATGGAAAAATGTAAAGGGCAAGATGAATGGTGAAATGAAACGACGTCGTAAGATAGCTTATATATTTGAAGTTGTCGGTCCTAGTATTATACCCTCGTGATTTGAGCCTTCTCTCTGTCATCTTAAATTCTGTTATCTCTCTCACTCTCTCACTACTTTCTCTCTCTACTTTTCCGATGAAGCCCACCACCAAGTTCATCGTCCTCCACCCTTCTATCCACAAGCACGCCACCACCGGTACTGCTGCCGGAGGACCTTCTCCTCATCCTAATCACCGTCTATGGCTTTTCACTCTTTTTTCCCTATTCTCCTTCGCCTTTACTTTTTCCCTCTTCACTACACTCCCTTACACTAGAACCACCGACTCCTCCACCGCCGCCGCCGCCGCTTCCACACACCCCTTGCCCAAACCCATCTTCGACGCCCTCCTACACTACGCCGGAACTGCACCAAACTCAACAAACCCCTCACGGATGTCCTCCGCAGAACTTAACTCCATTGCCTCCGTCCTCCGCCGCTGCTCCTCCCCCTGCAACCTCCTTGTTTTTGGTCTCACTCACGAAACCCTCCTCTGGCACGCCCTAAACATCAATGGCCGGACGACATTCGTCGACGAGAGCGCTTACTTCATCTCAAAACTCGAAGAGAAACACCCGGGAATCGAAGCGTACGACGTTCAGTTCACAACCAAAGTCAGCGATCTACACGAATTGATCGATTACTCGAAATCGGAGGTCAGAAACGAGTGTAAGCCCGTACAGAACCTCCTCTTCTCCGAATGCAAATTAGCCATCAACGATTTACCAAATCACGTATACGACGTCGCTTGGGACGTCATTTTGGTAGACGGCCCACGTGGGTATTTCCCGAAAGCACCCGGGAGACTCGCCGGTATATTCACCGCCGGCGTGCTAGCCCGGAGCAAGAGGAGCGGCGCCGACGAGACCCACGTTTTTGTTCATGAATTTGACAGGGAAGTAGAGCGAGTGAGTAGCAATGAGTTTCTATGCAGCGAGAATCTGGTGGAAACGGTGGATTTATTGGGCCATTTTGTGGTGGAAAAGAGGGATTACCATATCAACAATTTTCAATTCTGTCGAAATCCGCCATCGTCGGCGGAGACGGTGGCGACATTACTGTAATCATCATATACCCAGATGATGGAACAGAAATTATAGGCAAATCTCCGACCAGTTTATGTAAATACCATAGTATTTTATATTCGAGAATTTCTTCTTGATGCTTTTCAATTTCAAATTTGCATATATTTTCAAATCTAAAGGGGTGTTTGAGATTGCTTATAAAAACAATTTATTGACTTATTTTGATATGGTACGGGTAACAAGCACTTTTGAGTGTTTGGATAAACAACTTATACCGGTAATTGCAAATTTCCATCATTATCGATCCTTCATCAACACATTATGTTATACAACTTGATGAATTCTTTTTGTTATGTTGTTTAGGCTTTATGTCACGTAACATCTAATGAAACTATTTGGAATTTAATGAATCCGATAACTTGATGTGATGCATAAATGGTCGTTTAATGGTGGTTCGTGATTAAGATGCCCGGAAGTCATTGTTCATTTACGAGTCCTTGAATCGTTTTAAAATGATTCGAGCCGTACAATATTTATATTTGTTTGAAATGCTTGGTTTATTAGTTGATTAGTAAAAGCATTAGGCGATAATTGACGTTTACACTTCAATTACGTACAGTCAACTGATCAGAACATTTTAAGAATATCTTCAACAGGTTTTTCAAATAAAGAAAAAACAACTTATCCATGTATATACACTGGAAAGGTATTCGCGCAATGCAGCGAGATATATCTCGATTTTAATGTTTCGTTTTATTTCATCTCTGTAGATGTTATAAAACGGTTTTTATTTGGTTTTGAGAAAAAAATAATGTTTTTATTTTTGAATAAAATATAAAGTTGAAAATATTATAAAAATTCGAAAATAAATATATCAATGTTAGTATCAAATTAAATCAATTTTTTATTATAATTTAATTTAGATTTAATAACGAAGTAATTTATTTTTGATTTAATAATATAATTTTTATAGCAAAATAATTAAGTATTCTCTTAAAACTCGATAATTATCCTAATTATATTTTAGATTAATTATATTAAAAAAATGAAATAGTTACACGAATTCAAACATTAAGCTTTAATAAGTTGTACTTACACACAATTTATATATAATCTTGAATTTTAAGTAATATACATCAGCAAACAGTACTTCATACATAAAAAATGGTTTTTAAAAGTTTTTGTCAAATATATTATAATATAATAGATATGATTCATTGATTTGGTTAATACAATGATAAGAAAAAGATGACCAATTTTTAGTGAGTGGTCCCAAACACAAAACTAAATATGGACACCTTTTATATTCTCTAATGTAATGATTTTGTGATCGGTTGCTAACAAAATTATTTTATAACGACTTAACGAATGATAACGATTTTCTCCATAAGGTTTTTTTTTTCCATTTCAATATTTTATTCGTCGTAGGTCGTATGTCAAGAAAGAGAACGTTTGAAAGTGCTTTAGTTTGGTGCTATTAACCTTCTTTAATATAACTTTATTAAAGGGTCGGTTTACTGATTATTTATGAGTTATTTGTTTTTTTAGGAAATAAATATTTCTAGGTTTGATTTTATCTGGGTGTTATTGATTTTTGTAAATGATAATATGCAAAAAACTGTTATTTAACATGTTAAATGTGTGATTTTGAATTGGGTCTTCAAAATCTTGGGGTCCAATTTTATATGTGTTTAAGATCTTTTATTGACGAATGTAAAACTATAGCCTATCTTTATGCATAATTTATATTGGAAGATAAAAGTAATAGGTCTCATCACCACCTCACTAATGTGTCATCCCCTCTTCGGTTATCTTTTGTTCCTGATTCGGCGATTGAATTTTCTAATTGGGTACCTGGACCATGGTTATTGGATACTCAAGAATTTCATATTTTAATTCGAATAGATCTTTTTTTTTTGCTCTTGTACTTCTAATTGTTGTGTTCAAGCTACACAAGAGAAAGTAAGGGACTGTTTACTAAACTCTTGTAGGGTAAGTACGTATGGGTCATTTAACTTACTGGATGAACATGGCAAGGGTCGAGAATCTTACCTGGTACGAGTTATGATAAAGATGGAGATTCTTACGTAGTAAGTGATGGTGATGACTCTTAACCGGTAAACGCTTTCAAGGTAAATTGTTGAATATGATATTGTTTTGATGAACTAAAATTTTATCCGATAAAGTAAATTATAGTGGTTACTCTTATCGGTAAGGACTTACTGGATAAACGTTTTGTTAAATGACCCCTGAATTTGATTTTCTTTATGTTACACTATTCAAATTTCTCTGTTAATTGTCATTGAATTGTTTGTGATTTCTCTAAATAACGTTGTTTTCTTGTGTAAATTATGTTCGAATTAATTGTTTACGTTTAGATAATCAAATTATTACTTGTTTAGGTTCAATTTGTTAAATATTTAGGTTTAAGTTGGGTTGGAATCCGGTGAGAAGGGTAAGAAGGGATATTCATCATTGGATTAATCCTAATTGAAGATTAACACCATATCAATTCCCGTGAGAAGCACAATTCATCAAGTGGGAGTGAGATTAAAAGTGATCAAAAGTCAGGTCTCTTACTATACTTCTCATCTTAACTTTTATTCTCACATGATCCTTTGTCTATGTTCAGATTGTTAATTAAACGTTTAGCCATTTTATGTACTTAACATATATCTATCCTCTGTTATCTTGTTTTTCAGTGTAATCAAAAGTTTTAGCTGTAATAGACTTCCAAATTAGAACACCCTGACGATATGTGATTGATCAACGATAAAAATTTCGAATTTTTTTGTCAAAAAAAACTTTTTACTTAATGATTTTCAATCATTTAGCGTATGCTTGAATTATAATAACTAATCATGATTCACGACCATATTTAATATTGGTTTCCTTTTGAAAAGATAATTCGTTTTAAAAGACCAAAAATGATGTGTAGTTATAAAAATAAAAGGTAGACGGTGACACAGACACATTGTTTTATCTGTATTTTATCTAACTTGATTCACGTAATACCGACAATTTCAACCGATCACATACGGAACCCGCCTTCAGGAACACCAATATAGGGGGCATTTTTTGACTCACTCAGCGGCTGAGGCTAACGCAAGGAAGGAGGGTTTCTGTGAACTCAAAACACGTCTTGTATTTAAATAAAGTCATCTCATCCTTTTACCAACTACACATGAGTAGTAATTAACGTACGCTATATTAAAATGGTTTTATCATGTAATTCGAACATAAATCATCGATGAGATTTGAATTTTGAAATCCAAGATTTTGGGGGTTAGAAATTCCAAAAAGGGAAAGGAGTAAAAAGGTGAAAACTGAGTATGTCACGTGCCTCACGTGATAGAAAATGGAGAGAGGGATTTGTCGGTGAGAGATGGAAGACAGGATGGGGTAAATGGGACCACGGTGGGCGAGTGGGTTCGATGTGGTTCACACAAAATGGAACCCATTTAGCCAGAGGGACAAATGGGTTCGGTCAAGTGTCATTTACAAATACGATCACTTCCACACACTCCATTATTGTTACAAGTATCAAATAGGGACATACTACATTGATTTTGTCTTTGAATTCATGGTTTGTTTTTCTCCTAATTAATATACACATTTTCTTTTTCAGAGTTTTCTCGAGTTCTACGCTTGTAAATTCATACTCCTTTGGATCTTAGACGCAGAAAATACTCGTTACCCTTTTTTCACGGATAATTATAAGTACCAACGATGAAATTTGAATTCATCACTAGACACACGTCGAAAAGCAGATACAATTCTATATTATAAACGATTGGACATAATGATAATGTCATGAGTCAGGACCATAGATTCAATGCACCTAACCGAAATGAATCCTTCAAGACGTTGCTTTATTTACACTGGTTTATATCAAAATCTCTCAAGACAACAAACGATCTAATGATTGCCATTCTTAATCAATCAGATGGTTACATATGGTTACATAGTACTTCTAACTAAACGAATATCTCGTACCATGGCTATAAGTAACACAACAATGGTACGTGCACCCATAACATTATTATAAAAGTACAAAAGGACAATAATTTGGTAAGTTTTCAATATAAACATTAATATCTAAATTGAAATTTGTATTTCAAGAAGTATTGGTCCTGATCTTCCTATGGTAACCGGTCGAACTAGTATCCATGTTCGTACTGGTTCTAACCGGTCCTTGCCATATCTCAGCTCCAACAAGACTCGGTCTGTCAGAGTGTTGGCTTTTGAGCCCGGTCCTGGAACGGTCCTCAGACCTTGGCCTTTATGCCCATATCGACCCGATACCATTAGTGAATAAAAAATCTTTTGTCTCAAAATCTGATGTTTTCTTCCTGTCTATCAATCACGTGAAAGACACGTCATCACAAGATTGGTGAGACAGGAGGGACCTTGAATTTGGGGACATAGATGATTTTTATTCTACCACGAGTGGCACGTATTGACTTTGAATTCGAAAAGTAATATGTTTGACCTTGTGAGTCAAAATGTATCTGTTTATGCTAAACGAATATCATGTCATAGAACAGGGGCGGACCTACAAAGGTCCCAGCCGGGCCGTGCACCCATTAACAGATCTTTGCAAGTAGAATTTGCTTCAGGGTATAGAAAGGTGCACATGCTAAACTTTGAAAAGTGTTCTGGTATATTAGAAAATACAAGGGACATAAACCAATAAACCAAAAAACTTGAAAGATCCTTCGAAATCAACAAGATTTTGAAAAAATCACTCGAAATCAACCAAAAAACTTTAAAAAAAATCCTCAAAACGATGGAATTCGGCTAAAAACACTCCGATCCACCTTTATATCTTGTGTCTAAGAACCTTGAGAACATCTTTAATAAGACCATTTCATGATACAACACATCTGCCATCTCTGATAGAGTTTGCGACTCGACTTCATTCTCTTACGGTATCCAGCAAAACTCGTCTGCTTCTTCACTGCGACGTTGAACGAGGCATAGACAACTTAGCAGCGGTATCAAACCCTAAAAAAAGCAAAAGAAATTACCCCACAGAGATAAACAAAAACTAGACAGAACCCTTTTGTCTGCATCATGTTTCTAAGACACATTGAATATGATGATGTTAAGTTCATAAGGTATAGATATGGAGCAGAAATTGATCCATTTATCA